ATCAACGGATTTTCACTAGTTTTTTAGGCATTACATTGAACCAAATTCTTTCAGAAAGCTAGCTTGACCTGAATTTTGTTAAATTGAATATGCACAGGCTGAAAAGCTTAATAAGTTTCATGTAGTTGAGGATAAAGTTGCTTTTGTAGTTCTACATAGTTCTATGTTGTTCTATATTGTTCTATATTGTTCTATGTAGTTCTATGTTGTTCTGGGTAGTTCTATGTGGCTCTATATGCGGCTCTATGTGGCTCTATGTTGCTCTATGTAACTCTATATAGCTCTATGTAGTTATATGTAGTTCTATATAGTTCTGTAGAATTATATAGAGTTCTATATTGTTCTATATTGTTCTATATTGTTCTATATTGTTCTATGTAGTTCTATGTGGCTCTATGCAACTCTATATGGTTCTATATGGTTCTATATAGTTCTATATAGTTCTATATAGTTCTATGTTGCTCTATGCAACTCTATATAGTTCTATATTGTTCTATATTGTTCTAAATAGTTTTATATGGTTCTATATGGTTCTATATAGTTCTATATAGTTCTATATAGTTCTATATAGTTCTATATAGTTCTATACAGTTCTATGTAGCTCTATAAAAGCTATATCGTAAGCTTTCAAACAATTTCCTTTACAACAAGCTTCTTTACAACAATTGTCTTAAGTTTCCTCATTCCAACAGTGTTTTTCCATCTTCTTGCCTAGATTTATTCAAAGATCTAGATTTTCTATTTTAATTTTATTCAAAGCATTCAACTCTCCTTACTTTTAAGCTCAAAAACTCTCCTTCAGATGACCAAATCTTCTCCAACTCCTCACGGTCAACCACTCACAAAAGATGCTAAACATTTGGTGTCTGAAGTTCGACTAAAACTCTCGCAACCCATTCATCCAAAGGTTTCCCCAACAAATATCCACAAATAATCGATTTTTAGTTTGACACCGATTTCAACGTTTATCGCTTCATACTAGCAGCGGAAAGACATCACAAAAAGAGAAAGAAATCATCGAAACAGCCTCAAAAGCTCTCAACAATCATCTGCGATTTAGGAAAGCGCTGGACTTGGTGAGTTGTCGAGCTGGACTTTCAGCGTTTTAAATTGTGAACACACGTTTTCTGGTGCACTCAATTCTTCATTTTTTTTTAAACCTTCATTTTCATCAAGTTGTACTAAAGAAGAGTATGCCAGAAGAGATGTGGTTTTTTTTTTTTATTTTGAACACAAATTACGCTCTAAGAACTCAACGATCACAGGCCTTTATAACAAGCTAGTAAATTGTCCGAACGACCTAAAGCTGCTGTTAAAGCTGCTAAAAATCTATAGCTTTATAGCCTATTTTCTCCAACCTTTCCCCTACTAGGAAAGCTCTTTTTTTGAGTTCAAAGCCTCATTCGAGGAAAGCACAGCGAAAAACACGGGAAATCTATCTAGGACACCGAGGAGATCGTATCGTTTGACGAGAATCCGATCTTTGTGAAGAGATTGATGCCAAAAGGGGAAATCCAGTCATTGACCGATCAACACAATCGACTGCTTTGGTATATCGACTACGCGTCGATTACGGTTGAGGTGAGTAAGAAAAAAAGTGAAGGAATTCGCAAGAAAAACTAGATTTTCGGAAAAAGTAGCTAACAAGGAAAGGTCAGGAGCTGGTGAAATGCTATGCGATCTATACCATTCAACGCAGAATATTATGCTGATTTCGACTCTGTCTTCCGTTTTTGCTAAATGACAATCTGCCAAGAGTTATAAGCGTTTAAAGTTTTGTTAGGACGCTAAAAATGTGGTCATTTGGGTCTCAGCGGCCTTCCTTGCGGTTATTTGAGTCTTAGCGGCCTCCTTGCAGCCTTCGTTTCCAGAGGTCTTAGCCCTCACAAGTTCGATCCCAGCTTTGGATCTTTCGGGGGTCGAACTTGTGAGGTCTCGCTCTGGAAACGGACGCTGTACCACTCGGCCACGGCTGCAGCGAGTCAGGTCTGAGGCCGCTAAGACTCAAATGACCGCAAGGAAGGCTGCTAAGACCCAAATGACCAGAGAGTACTAACAAAACTTTAGACGCTTATAACTCTTGGCAGATTGTCATTTAGCAAAAACAGAATACATATTCGGAATCAGCACAAAATTCTGCATCGAATGGTATAGGTTGCATAGCATTTGGCTCAGCCAGTTGTCCTTCCCTTGTAAGTTAGATTTAAGCTCTGGTATGGAAGTAAGATCAGAGTTCAAGTTTCCTAAAACAACTATTCCTAAAAGTATCGAAGCTCGTTCTCAAAAGATTTGCCAAATCTTAGACTAAAAATCATTTCCCATAAATGAATCAACTTTGTTCAGTCAATCGCCCACACAATCCCCTCAACATTCACCTGTAAATGTCAATTCTGGCAATTCGAGCAAATGCTGAGACGAGTGATGGAGCATGTAAGAGAAAAAGATAGGAAAATTTTTAAAAAAAACGATACTTTAGGAAGAAAAGACTGGAAAATTCAGCTCTCTTCGTCATATCATTGATTTGGATGGATATGATTTGAATCCATTCACGATGCTCTTTTTGAGTAGCGGAGCAATGGCTTATTACACGCAACTCTTTCACTTTGAGCACTACCCAGAATTGGTGAGTGGAGGGACAAGCTAAAAATGTTGACGATAAAAGGAAACTGAAGGGCCTAAGCGATAAAAGACGATAAAAGGAAACTGAAGGGCCTAAGCGAAGCATCAACTGGCTGAGCCTTACAGATACTGTAAGGCTCAGCTTGACTCAGCCAGTTGATCTTCCCTTTTAAGTCAAGAGTGACAACTCTAACAGCTTAGACTCCTAGCTACACAACTTTCCTGTTTCCAATGACTTTCCAATGACGAATAGTATGACGTCAAAATGACCAATGGTTTTAATGATATGCTTTTTTAGGTGTCACCTTGTGAAACAGTGAATATCCCCGGATGGGTTCACATGCCATACAAATTGATTCGAGGAATGATGCCCGCTGGGTTCACTGATCGTTTCAAACTCTATGACAAGAAATTCCTCGACATATTGAAAGAAGAGATTGATGTGAAGAATATCCCGGTGACACTTGGAGGAGAGAACAAGGTGGGTGGGAAATTCTTTATCCAGCTTTTACTTGTACTGTGCCAACATAAACGTACTCTTGCTGGCGTACTTTTTACTTCTTAAATTCTACAACTTACTATAAGATTTACTATAGGAAGTAGACATGGACACTATAAACTATAAAAATGACGATCCCGCACACTACAAACGCTTCTAAACTGCTTCAAATCTGTCGGATTGACATAGCTCAAAAAATAGAGAATCTCAAGAGCTTTCAAAGTCGGAATTTAAATATTCACCACCAGAGTCCGTATGCTCGGTTCCCAGAAAATTCCCTCAGGAAACTGACAGAGTATTCCCGAGGAACGTTCTTTTCTCGCAATTCCCGCAAATCTTCCACAGAAATCTTCTGGCTAATCTTTTCGGAATTTTTCAAGCTCCGCAGAAATACTTTGCACGATCTTAGAACATCGTAATTCAGGATATCCGCTGCGTGCCCGCTATCAAAGTCCCAGAAGAAAAATACTGGCAACCAACCGACAATGATATCCTCGCCGTACTCGAGAGTTTCCCCGTGCCAGCAAGGAGAGCACGTCACTTTATCATTGAGGCAAAAGAAGGAGAGACATTGTCGTGGTATTTTCGAACCGATGGCGATCTGTATTTTGGGGTTTTCTATCAGGTTGGTGAAGACAAAGATTGCTCAAAGGAAAATTTAGCCAAGCGATGAGGCAAAGCAGGAGAAAGATTTGGATTCGGATTCGATGGAATTGGTGTATCCTTTTGTGAAAGTTGCGGCTAAGCTTGTTCACGAGAGGGACACGATGAAATGTTTGAAGAGTGGGAGGTGAGCTTTTGAATGATTAAAGTCTAAACCGGGCCCGGAAATCAAAAGCCAGGGTCAGGCTTGATTTCTGGCAAGCTCAAGGACTTTTTGTGCTTGGCTCAAGGCTCAAGGACTTTGTGGTCCAAATTTGCAGCAAAGCCAAGCCAGATCTGTCTGTCCTGTCCCAGAACAATTGTCTTTGAACTAATCCTGGCTTTCTTTCTGATGTTTCGTATCTCGACATCAGTACATTTGTTTCTATGCGCTTGGGTTTCAAATTAAAGTAGAGAGAATGGGTGATTTTTTGAGATATAACACAGATTTTTAGCATTAACCAGCGCTTAGAAAAAAATGATTGAAAAGTGGCAAAAAAACGACGATTTTCAGCCGATTTTTTTCATCATTTCTTCTAAGCGCTGGTTACTGCTAAATATATTTATTATATCTCAAAAAAACACCCATCCTCTCTACTTTAATTTGATCCCTAAGCGTTCAGAAACAAATATACTGGTGTCAAGATGTGAGCGTTTGTTTGAGAGTAAACTTCGACTACGCGACGCGACGATAGGGGAGTTGATTTAATTCGTATCTGTTTTAATAATGCGCCATTTGCGAAGAAGTTTCTTTGTACCGATACCTTTTGCAAATTCCGTCCACAAAGTTGTGTCATCAAATGTAAAGAATATGAAAAAAAACACCGAAATTGATTGAAAAATGACAAATAAAAGCCGATTTTTAGCCAATTTTTTTTCATTTTTTCATCAATTTGGTGTTTTTTTCGTATTCTTTACATTCGATGACACAACTTTGTAGACGAAATTTGCAGAAGGTATCGATACAAAGAAACTTCTTTGCAAATGGCACATTATTAAATCAGATCTGAATTAAATCAACTATCGTCGAGTGGCGTAGTCGAAGAAATAAAATAAAGAAAAAAAGAAATGAAAAAATGAAAAAGAATGAAATTGCACGCTTTCTGCCTGCAAATTGGGAGGGATACGGTAGTTTTACCACTCTTTAAACCCACAAACTAGAATTTTCTCGCAAAAAAAGGTTGAAAGTGATTAAAAATTGAAATCGATTTAGATACTATGCCCTATTCTGCAATCGTCACGCGTGGATCTCGAAGAAAACAGCTGATTTGATTGTGACGGTGACAAATGACGATGGAGAGAGACGAAGGATACACGCTGATGGGACACACAGTAAATGCTCGCTTCTTATATAGAGAATCAATGTGATACCGTATATTTTTTTAATGATTCGGTGCTTTTCATATAAAAGTTTTTTTTGCTTTTAAATCGAAAAAAAACCAACCAGTGAAAGTTTCGGGATTTCGACGGTGTACCCAAAGAAACGTTGTCCACCATCACCCAACAAAATCGGATGAATCGAGTGAAGGGAACGAGCCGAGCAAACGATTTGCACCAATTTTCGAGGTTTCAAGAGATCACGAAGCACTGGAAAGTGATGGATTACGCAAATTTGCATAATGCATATGTTTGCATAATCTTTTCTTCAATTTAAGAAATTTTATTTTAAAATCTACTCTCGTTCAAGCTAAGATTTATCTACTTAACTTGATTTTAAATTTCTAAACTCAACCAAATACTATTGACTATTTCAACCGGGCTATAAAGTAAAGTAAGGAATGGTGAAAAGTTCTTTCATTCAAAAAAGCTCTTTGAAAAGATCTTTGACATAAGTGGTATGATTTTTTTGAAAATTGAACTTTCTTTCTTGGTGACAGACTTCTTGTTGACTGTTCTTTAATTGTTTTTGATTGATATTGAAAATAGTCTGTAATACTGTAGCTGTACTGTAAAGAGCACTGTAATCTACTATATACAAAAAAAATAAAAAGTCCGTCCGTCCTTCTGTCACACCTACGCGACAATACAAATTACGTTAACGTAAAATTACAACGAAGTGAGCTAGAAAGCTGAAAAGTTGTACTCGGGGGTTTTCGGGGGCGAAGAATCCGAAGCTACAAACAGATTTGCGCCCTCAGTACGGATATTCTGCCGCTAGGTAGAATATCCGTGAGGCCGTGTAACGGACGCCCAGCGCAGCTGGTAGCCTTAAAAATGGTATTTGTCTGTTTTTCAAAACAGGAAAGAAATTTGTCGGAGGCGGGACTCGAACCCACCGAAAGAACGGCCGTCGGTTCTTGTAGTCCGGCACACGATCCCCTAGGCCACCTCTTATTAGCAAGGAGGTTGGCGAAAATGGTCAAAATTTTAAATGCCTTTTTTTCGTCAGGATTTTAATTTGAGCAAAAACTGAATAGATATTTGGTATGCTGATATTCGTTTGCACTCCGAACTTCTCCTGAAACGAGTCCAGTTTGGATCCTTCCCTTGTGAGCTATTCGGTATCTTCTTGCGAGACGAGAATGAGGAAAAAAAAATACAAGGAGGAAGAGAAAGGAGGAAGAGAAAGGAGGAAGACAAGGAAGAAAGAGAAGGAAGAGCAGAAGCTAGGCCAGGTCTAGGACTCTATTCAAAGGTACGGGAAACTTTATGGATCAAGCTAGACCAAAGCCAAGCAAGGCAAGGCTGGTCCTGAAAGGCTGACCCTTTGGAACAACCCTTGGAAACAATTTCGGTCTAAAGTAACCCAACTGGACATCAGATATAACCGGATTTTACTTTCCTTATGTTCAATAAACAAACTGCAAACAAAAGAAACAAACTCACTTGCAAAGATCCTCTCCAATTGAACCATTCTGTGCTCCTCATCTTTATTCGCCGGTGCAATGAGATCAATTCCATCAAGAATGATCACCGATGGACTTCTCACAATTCCCAAATTCAACTCGACCAACAATTGCTTTCTAATCTTCTCAGCTTGTTTGCCTGGAAAAAAAGAGATTAAATTTTGATCTTTTTCAAGCTCACCCTTCCACATCGAGCAATCAATCCTCCGACAAAAAATCACTTTTTCTGATTTGGCCAAACTTTTTGCGATTTCTTGTAGTAGTGCCGTTTTTCCAGTCCCCCGATCACCAAGAAGTAATGAATGATTATTTGAAGTGTCATTCCGTAAATCCCAAGAAAAATCAATCCATTTCGTCAATTGATCCAACAAATCGTCTTGAAATCTGAAAAAGTAAACTTTAATTTTAAAAGTTAAGACTTTACTTGAAATCTTTCAGCTTTATTGGTGCCTCAAAGCCATAATTCAACAATTGTTCTTCTTGTGGTAAACTTGTTTCCATAAAAGTTTTCTGAATGATTTCTTTAATAAATTTAAAAAAAAAACTAGATTACTCTGATGATTGGTCGAGTCGACTTTGACACTCGAAAACATATGTGCTTTCCATTTTGTGGATGATTCATGAGCTCTTTGAAAGGCGAACATAATTGATAAGTGAGCGGGGAACCTGGAAATGAAAGTGATTAGCCAAATAATGCTTAAAGATAAGAAAAGCAGCTATAGTATGCCTAAATGAAAAGGGATTTAAGGCTACAATTTGCTGGCTTATAAACGTTCTTTAACACTGTAAATGGCTTGTAAACGTTCTTTAACACTTTATAGTTAGATTATTTTCTCTATAAATTCTCTAGTTTTCGAGTGTCAACTCTCTAAATTTTCAGCTTTACTCAAAAACTATTAGATCGTTTTAGAAGTTCAAAATAACATTTGATAGCAAATTTTCTTGCGCATCTTTTGAAATATAAGCGATTGCAAATGGCTTATTAGGTGAAAATCTACAAAGTGTAAGGAGGAGAGCACTCCCTTAAAGCGTCCCGCTAGATTCCAGGTTGAAATATTCCAGGATTCCTCCAAACCATTTTCCAATTAAAAACATTAAAACTAAAGTTGAAAGCGCATATTTTACAAAAACAAGTAATTCAAAAGACCCAAATTTGACCGAGATATAAAGGTGAGAAGGAAAAAAAGGACACTTTTCAAAAGTCTCCTCCTTTTTTTTCTTTTCATATCTCGACTCCCTTTTACTATTTTTAATTACTTTTTTTTACAAAATATGCATATTTAATTCTAGTTTTCAACACTTTTATTTGGTATATAAGTTTTCAATAAAGATTCCAGAATAGTCAACTGTACACATAGGTTTATCACAGGGGAAGTGCTCTCCTCTTTACCCTTTGTAGATTTTCACCTAATAAGCCATTTGCAATGGCTTATACTTCAAAAGATGCGCAAGAAAATTTGCTATCAAATGGTATTTTGAACTCCTAAAACGATCTAATAGTTTTTGTGAAAGGGACTAAAAATGAAAATCCAGAGGGCGGGGGATTTGAAAACTATAGAAACTATAAATCTAATAGATTCGAAGCTCAAAAATGAGATTAATTTAGAATAAACCTTTAAAAATAAACCTTGCAGTATCGTCTTGATTGTGGTCCCGTGATTGCCGAGTAGAATCGACGTGGCTTCGCTCAATTTTCGAACATCATTGTCAAGGGTTAGACTCAGCAAATCCCCGGCTTCGATCAATCGATCAGACGTCTAAATTTTCAAAGTTAAGAAAAAAAAATTTCTCAACTCACCTCATCATTCACACAAATCTCCACTTCTTTCAGTGTAACAAGCCGATTTTTTTTCTAATGGCGAAACCTTGAGAATCTCGTATTCGGATAAGGGAGATACTGAAGAAACCAGGCAATGACCGGGATATTTCTGAAAATAAGTTGAATTATGATTTCCCATTTGTTCATTATGATTTGTTTACCTTTAGCAATATTTTCAGCTTCTCGATTTTCTCATCGTGTTGACTCCCATGTGAGATGAGATGAAAAATGGCAAAAAACTCGCGACAACTTGGGCGCATCGTTTTGATTGAGACGTACAAAGTGCTGCCATATGGTTGGGTTTTGTCTGAAAATGATAGAAAAGATTTTAACGATATAGCTAAAGTACTTAAACTCTTGAAAGCCAATAGCTTTTAGTTTATTAGCATATCTTAGCAAACTTATATAGCAATCAAGACCAGAGTCTGGTTAGCTAGATCAGACTTTTTCAAGTTCTAAAGTTCTACGACTCTAATGTTCTACGACTCTAAAGTTCTACAACAGTTTTACCTGTATGCATGGCATAAACATCATTTATATGCAAACATTGATCCAATCCTTTGCGCAATTCTCTTGGTAGAACTCTTAAATGAGTCGGTGGAAGAATGTTATCGAAATATTCTTCATTCACGGCCGAGGTGCTTGCTTGATTCAAATCGGTGAACAGCTGGAATGGGACATTGAAAGTAGCAAAGCCTTGTGTTCAAAAATGAAAACACGCGCTTTCTCGTGCACTGAATTAAATCATTAAATGAAAGAATTCCATCAAAAAGGGTTTGTTTCTATTTCTGTGCGCAAAATAGCACACGAGAGAACAAATCTAAAGCTTGTCTCAAATTTTGCATTTAAACGCTGCAGGAATACAATAAGGAAGTGTACAATAAGGAAGAAATTAAATTTCAAGCCCACCTTGCTAAATTTCTCTTCACTATTCCGTTTCTCTTCTCGATTTGACTGCTTCAAAAATCCATTAGTGACTGGCGCGACGTGGAGTTCGGTGTGAGCCGTTAATAGCACCGGTTTATCCGTTTCTGGATGGATTTTCACTAAAAATCTTTGAATAATGGTGACAATTTAGCCATAAAATATATATAATACACTGGTTAGAGAAGTGATAAACTTCAGAAGCAAATTTGACCACATTAAAAGAACAACAAACCCTGCTCACTTGCGACCTTTTTCTGAGAAAATCCCGGGTTGGGGCTTTAAAGCGTGGTAAAACTACCGTACCCCTCCTACTTCGCGTGAAATTTCCTTTTTTTTCATTCTTGTTCATCTCATTTTATTCTTTTGTGTTTTTTTCAACGATTCAACATTTTTTCAAATAAAAATTGAAGTTTTCACCATAGAAAAGGATAAAAATCACTTAACTTAACATTAGTTGGCATTAAACTCGTGGAGCAGATCGTCGGGAAGCAAGTGGGTCTAAAAAAACTCTACAAACAAAGCTTTCGCCAGAGAAAATGCTGTCAAAAACGTAACTTAGCTTTATCCTTTTTGTTTCCTGCAAAAACAAACGCGGTTATATCAGAAAAACGCAAAAAGAATAAAATGAATGAACAAGAATGAAAAAAATTAAATTTCGCGCAAATTGGGAGGTACGGTAGTTTTACCACGCTTTAAAGCACCAACCCAGGATTTTCTCGGAAAAAGGTTGAAAGTGATAAAAGTTGAAATCGATCACAATCTCTCTACTCACCCCTAACCGTTCTATAAACAACTAGATTTCCCCAGAAAAGGTCTAAAACGATAAATTTGTATATAAGAACGGTAAATTTACCAATTTTCAGTAAAACCGGGCGTCCAGCATTGGAAAAGAATGGAACAATCATTCCGGAAGCAACGAGACGACATTGATTAAGAAAAGAGCTTTCGATCTCGTAGACATTCGATTCCTGAATTATTTCAGAGTAAACATAACTAACGAGACTGCGTTAAGGCTCTTAGCGAGAGTTAATGTGGCGAGAACTCGTTAAGCTAACGAAATACCGAGATAACGGGGAGCTGGTCAAAACAGTGCCGAGTACAAACAGCAGTAAAATAGTCCGTTTACGGTTAAGTTTATTTGTGTTTCTTATTTTCATTGGATGTAGAAAATAATTAGCTATCCGCTGAATTTTTTAGAGCCGTCTAGAACAAATCTAGAATGGGAAAATGCAAAAACGGCTCAAAAAGAGGTTCACTGAGCTTTTCTCGACACCAATTCTGTTTCGAGAGATCCCAAAGTATGCAAAATGTAGATAATTTTATTGTGCATTCAATAAGAATAAGAAACGCATAGAAATTTGACCGCGGAGGAGCTATTTTTGCCCTGACCCTGTTTGTACACGGCGCTGTTTTGAGCAGCGCAAAGACACCTCAAATGATAAATTTAAGTTATAAATTCGAATTTTGCCATACTTTGTCACGCAGTGCATCATTTTTCTAATAGATTTTTGTCTGTAAACTTACTATAACTTGAAAATCCCCTTCGGACAATGGGGACACTTCAACAGCGTCACACGAGGTCGGCTCGACAAATTCGATCAAAGCCTAGTTTTTGGAAATCTTTTTTATTGTGTTCTAGTAAATTATTGTGATTTTATAGTTTACTATGTCAAATATGAGCTAAATTAAACTTTACGGTCGAAAAGGTCAAAACAAAGAGTCGATTTTTTTTTGGCTTAAAATTTTTTCCCCTCATTATATTTGTGGGGTTTTTTGTTGCATAACTAGACTAGTGCATAGAATCCAACATGAATTTTTTCCGAAAAATTATTTTCTTTTCAAAAATCACATTTCTAATTTTACTGCCAATGCTAAAATACTCCTATTTGGACCCATATCTACAAGTTTAGCTTTAAAAAGTCTTAAAAAGTCAATATTAGGTCAATATAGGGGTTAGGGGGGTGACCGTTAACTAGAGAGTGACCGTCTATTGGAGAGTGGCCGTCAAATAGAGAGTGACCGTCTATTGGAGAGTGGCCGTCAAATAGAGAGTGACCGTCTATTGGAGAGTGGCCGTCAACTAGAGAATGGCCGTCAACTAGAGAGTGACCGTCTATTAGAGTTTTTACTGTATATTGTATTTTAAGACTTTTAAAATAAAATTTCTGTTTTTTAGCCCAAAGACAGCCGAGCAAATGTCTGTACAGACAAACAGACAGACAGACACTGCTCTGTTATATATGGCAGACACTTAAATGCAAATTTGGCGCGAAATACAAACTGGGCGGCCGTTTTAAAGTTTAAAATCGAATAACTTGACCGGGAAATGATTACAAACGGACTTCAGATTCGGAATCAGCGAATTTTTTTTTGCTACTCTTAAAATGAGAGTTTTCAGCCTCCTATTTCAATTCCCCGAATAAAAGCCTCGGACAGACGGACAGACAAACGGCGTTATATATATTGAAAACCTCTTCATTATCCGTAAACCCAGCGAACTCCATGAGCTTCGCGTTGATCAGAACGTACTGAAACCTCTGATCGCCATTCAATTGCACATACAATTTTCGATTCGCATCTTCACACGATCGAATCAAAGCGAATCTCTGATTATCGTAGCTCTGAGGATTTTAATTAATATTTGCACTTTAAAATCAATCATTTTCAATGATACCGGCGGATTTTTATAGTTGAGATCCCCGTTGAGTGTGCTCGTCGTCGTGTAGGCGAAACAATTCGGCCAATTGTGCTCTTTCACAAAACACGGGAAACGCTGATTCATTCGAAGATAGCTGAAATATTAATTACGAAGAAAAAAAGGAAAGCCAAATTCAAATAAAGATTCAAATAAAGTTTCAAATAAAGATTAAAATAAAGAAATTCAAAAAAACTTTGTGAAAAGCTGTAGAAAAAGGAAAATCTCCATTTAAGCTCATTTCTTTTCTTTCTTATTTCATTTTTCGTTTTCAGATCGAAACTTTCAACTAGATTTATTTTTAAAAAAAGCATTCGATCATAAAATCTCTTATAAAAGTTTGATTTATTTTCAAAATTTGAAAACAAATGTATGTATGGAACAAACAAATGTTCTCAATATGGAAAAAGGTTGATCAATCTCATTTTTTTTTTGTTATCTCATAACTGTAGTTTGTATTGTCTATCTGAAATGTCAACCTTGTGTAGTTTATTTTGCACTATGCGAAAATAAATAGCGTAACGGAAGAGAACAGCAAAAAAAGGTTTTTTTAAAAATGGGAAACCATGTAAAAGAGCTCAAAAAAAAAAGAAAAATGTCGATCGATCGTCTTTTTTATGATCGTTTTCGTTGCAGATTTGGTGGAGAAAGGGAAATGTGAAAAAACAAGGGCTATCTTTGGAAATCTTCGACTACTTTTTCTATAATAGCTGATTTCGATTGGGATTTTGAGGAGTAGCCTACTTTTTACTTGTAAATGCGCACTTTTTGGTGTACTAGCAAGGGAAATTTAAATGGATGTGCTGGCCAAATCAAATGAGCCATAGACAAACGCTAAATTTTCTGCTGATCATTCAGCTTTTTTTTCTACGGAGCACTCTGTCAAAAGTTATACGCATTTAAAGTTTTGTTTCAAAAACCAAACCGCGACATTACAACCCGGTCTTCCGCTAGCTCGCCAGTTGCAGAGCTGGCCAAGTGGCAGTGATTTGGGATGCAAGGCGAGGGTTCCCCGGTTCGAGACCGCTAGCAACTTTTTACCTTTTGAAAGTTAAGTTATATAAATCAGACTTTAATGCTGGAGTTTAAAACTGTTTTTGAAGGGTTTTAAAAGCAAACGGCTTGACTTTTTAGCTGATCTTTTTATCTTTTTTTATCTAAATCTTGATTGTAATCTTATAACTCTTGTTAACTATTATTTTTCTTTCAAATTTGTCATTATCTAGAAAATCTAGAAAATCTAGAAAAATGATCGATGAATTGGAGCCGAAGAGGATAAAATTTGATGAATCGATATCACTAGACGTTTGGAAGGAAATCTTTATTCGATGTGACGAAAAATCATTGATTCGACTGAAAATGGTAGGCAACTTTAGAGAAATTGAAAAAAAATACTTTCGCTTCGAAGGCTTGAAGGCGGAAAATTGAATATCTTTTTATTTTCAAAGAAAAACTTAAAAAATGGGGCAGCCACGTTTGTCCGCTTTTTCCGTCGCAGTGCGTAGCTGCCCCATTTGTTGAGTTTTTCTTTGAAAGTAAAAAGAAATTCAATTTCCCGCTTTTCCGCTTACAAGCTTGTTCTGTTGACATGCCAGCGCCAGATTTTTGAGCCAGATTAAAACTACAAAATGGACAAATGCACAAATGGACTATGAACTTTTTGATAAACAACATAAAGCTTTTTCTTTTAGCCTTTTTATCAGCGACCATAAATTGCCAAAGTACACACCAATTTCTCGTCTAGGTTTATCGCCAATTCAACTCGATTATCGACAACAAATTTTGGAGTAAGAAATGTGAACGAGAGCGGATCACTCTTCCACCCGAGCATCTCGTCAAATTTGCTCGGAAAAAGGTTTGTCAGATACTGTTGATTTGTCCAGAAGTGCTAGGCTAGGCTCAGAAACGTAGACATACCGTAAATACTCTAATAGAACGCCATCTCCTTGTACAGTCGCGTAGTCTAACTTCTTTTTAGAAAATCGTTTCTTTCTTAGCTTCTAGATTTTTCCCAACTATACTTTTGGTACCAAAAAATACTAGATTTCAATGGCTATCATTTGACACTCATGCGCACACTGTAGCATAAAGGAGCGCGGAGAACGGGACGTTCAAAGTTCGACTACGCGACTTTACGCCCGTCATTATGGCATAAATTCGCGTAGTCGTCTATTAGAGTATTCACGGTAGGTAATCTTTCTGGCAGAAACTTTTCCAACTTTTTCAGGGCCATGAATTTCGATTATCAACATCTTTACCACTATGCCACAAAAAATAGCACTGATCCGTATGGAGAAAATCTTTTTGCGCACCTCAAAATCAAAGAAGAGGACATGTTGGATGATTGGTCGGATGAAAAATACGAGATTGACGGCTCTTGGTACAACTACGAGATTTGGGGGTCAGGAGAAACATATGCAACAATTATCGATTCGTGTTTTTTTTTTCAGTTGTAAGTACGAGACACCACCGGAGGGCTGTAGAGCCACAGAAAGCTCTCCATCAAAATGTCTGGCTTTTTATGGGAAAAGTGGGGCACGCACGATCACAATCAATTTGAAAGAAGCCGGTGTTGAGGTATCACGGTTTGCTTTTATCACAGCTACTAAAAGAACGTTACAGGATTGGGTGATGGATTATATTCGACCTCAAATTTTCCTTGAAGAAAAGATCGCCCCGAGGTCTGATTACCCGGCTGGATATTCGTCAATGATTATGGTTTGGATTTGATCTTGTGCAATTTTTTGATGTTAAATTGTTAAAGGGTGTAATTGCATTTTAAATATACTTTTAGATGTGCCGAGAAAACGAGTTTTGGTACGATTTAGATGATCTTGGAACACGTGGCACCGAGATTCAACAACAAATGGAGCAAAGTTTGAGAATAATTCTTGATAAAAAGGAAAACAAAGCAACTACTTGCCCACTTTGAATGAAACGCACCTTTTCTGGTGTAATTCATCACTTCTTTGCAGCAACATTCTAGAAATGAAGGAATGAGTGCGTCAGAAAGAACGCGTTTTTGTTTTTGAGTACAAAATACATACTTCTTCCTAAAAAACCAGTCAAATTTGCCCATTCAGATGCCCCTTGGATGGATTTCGTTCATCGACTAGAGAAATACCCGGCAATAATGAGGACATTAACCATCAGAACGGAGGGAATGGAAAGGAATGTGAGTTACAAAACAGATAAAACTTTTACCGTCAAAAAAAAAACACGATTTAGTTGAAAGTTTAGTCTCGTGAGCACTATTACGGAATCAAAGCCGCGAACACAGTGATTCATCTCGATTTTCCCGAAGAACTTCATTGGTATAAGCCAGATGAGGCAAGGCCCAATGAGTATGCTGATAAACATTCAAATTTCAGATAGAGGATAGCTTCCACCCATAGAAAAGCGCTTTTTTTTCCTGTTTTCAGAGTTTTTCCTCAAACTTTGATTTTTCGTATTTTATCAGTTGTAATAAAATTTATTTTCGGAATTTAGTCTTCCTCGCCACGTCGGAAATTTTAAATACTGCTATTTACTTTCTCAACCAGTCTGAGCTTACTTGCTTGCTTCGCATGCAAAACGTAATCAACAATATAAATAAACCATAGCATTTGATTCATAAAGCTCATTTTTATTTTCCTATTCATCAAGTTTCTTTGGTTCTCAAACCACATTTTCCCTCAATTTAACATCGCGACGCTCAACTTTACCGCCATCAAACAATTAATGTGTATTTATTAGTATCCTAGTAAGAACAATTTATCTCAACAAAATTAAACAACAAAAATAATTACTTCGCCTTCGCTTTCAATACTTTGGCAACGATCTTCTGTTCTTCAAGGAGGAAAGCTCGGATGATTCGTTCTTTAAGGGCGTTGGGCGCGAGGACTCCTCCGTAAGCACGCGAGACAGTCTTGTGACGGCGCGAAAGTCTCGAAAGTTCACGTGGTCGGGCCGAAGTAATCTAAAAGAAACCATTAGTTCCATTCAAAGTAAGTGTAGTTATCAATTATTGTGGTTAAGGTTCGACTCTTCAATAACGTTATTTTAACATTCCGTAACTTAATGGCCGCTAAGCAAGGCTAGATTTCGGCCTAAAAACCGAATTCGGCGCGCGCTAAATTTTAGTATCTAAAGTTTTGGTTCTATAAAATAGACAGCTAATGTATCATTAATGATTCCACCACGCATATACTTATGGCAAAGCTTACAATAAAAAACGACTTACTCCATGGAGCTTGACTCCGGTGTCGCCGCACTTGGGGACCTTTCCGCGTTTTTTCACATATTGGTAGACGAGTTTTCCTCCTGGAGTCTTCTTGACTTTCGTTTTGTTTGATGGCGTGTTGTATGACAGCCGTCTTCGGTACGTAAGTCGTTGTGCCATTACCTGAAAAGAAGCAAAATTAAATAATCATGGAAACAAGAAAAAAATAGAAAGCTAGTGCTTTTAAATGTAGCAAAGGTCGAACCAAATTATTTGGGTGCTCTAGTAGTGGGGGGGGCAGTTTGTCAATACCGGTTTTTTGCGAACTTACCACTAGTTTTAAAAACTTTTTCTGGGGTAATTAATTGAACTCTATCTATTGGAAGCATTTATAAACCATTCAGAAGAACTTTCATGCCAGTTTGAGCCACGATTCAGAGCCTTCAAAAGTGGCTCTCTTTCCACTGGGTCTAGAGGTGCAGGACCGAATTAAGCGGCTTAAAATCTCAGTAACTGCTTAAAATAGCTAGAAAACAATCACTAAAGCTTAAATAAATACCAAATTAAGAATCTAAGTCATTAGAACCCCTAGAAGCAAAAATTAGTGCGCTCTGGTTCAACAGAGATAAATTTACACTGGTGCCCCCAACTACTTTAGCACCATTATTTGAGCTTGCAATAAAGGCGCATCCGCTTAAAAGTCCTTTTTAGCGAGTTAGATTCGCTTTTCTCATAAGGAAAAACTTATTATTCACTAGACTATCAAATGTCAATCAATGAAATAAGAATTGACACTAAACTAAAGCTATAACGCAATTGTTGACAATCTGAGAACAAAATAATGAATGAAAAAAATTATTGACTGGCAAATTTTTGTTCGCCAAAACATATACCGTAACCGCGACGTGATGCATTATAGAAAAAATTATGGTATAAAAATCAAATGCACAAACTTTGTTGCACAAAATCACCGCGTCGCGGTGTATGCTAAAACGTGGACCCGTTACTTTCCCTCTTTTAAAAATCTCCTCGCTGTTTCGATAGCTTTCACTACTTATTGACTCTAACTGATTACTCATTTCATTTCATAACCTATTTGTCATATTTGTTTTTTAGGTACCGCCTCTGTTGAAAGGAAACGCTTCAATGGCAAACGACCCATCGACATCGGAAGAAGCGAAGACCGCTGAGGCAGCGCAAATCGATTCAAGCACTGATCCGGATAAGGCGAAATTCCCGATTCCAAAATGGGCAACGCGGCCACCCGGTGGATTTCATCTGGATGTTGTGAAGAACGGTCAATTGCTGCAGAAAGTCTTCATCGACGAGAAGAAGACCTACTATTTTGGAAGAAATCCAAAACAAGTTGATGTTGTTGTTGAACACGCTTCGTGTTCTCGTGTCCACGCATTGTTGATCTACCACGAAACACTGCAACGATTCGCTTTGGTCGACTTGGGCAGCAGTCATGGATCGTTTTATGGAAAAATTCAATTGGAGCCATTGAAGCCGCTGTTTTTGGAGCCGGGAGCCGAGTTTCACTTGGGCGCCTCATCGAGGAAGTTTGTGATTCGCGAAAAGATGTATTTGAAGTCAACAGGGAAAGATGATGACGAATACAAGAGTACTCAGCCAACGGATATCCAACTTGAGCAAGTTACCGAATACAATACGGCACAGAATCGACGAATCACGGCGGTTCCGATCTCAAATGAGGAGGCACGACGAAAGCAACGACCAAGGGGCAATGTGGCTTTCATTGAGCAGGAGGATATCATAAATCCTGAAGATGTCGACCCAACAATTGGGCGTTTCCGCAATCTCGTCACAACGGCCATCATTTCATCAGCTTCGGCGGTGAAACGTCCGAATCAATCGTCGGGACCGGAGCCAGCACGGAAAATTGTGCGACCGACAAGGGAGGCATCGAGATATCAGGCACCAATCTCGACAACGTTGAATATTACGCTGAATGCAGCTCCTGATCTCGAATTGTACAAGGCGTTGCCCAAACCAATCACGGAGTCGATGACCCCAATGGCTGCTATTCATGTTGATGATGAGGAGGATAATGCACCACACAAGAAAAAATACGCCAAGGAAAGCTGGCCGGGAAGAAAACCCCAAGGAGTTTTTTAGAATTCACTCTTCTGCTCATAATTTTTTTGCTAATCATATACATCTTTATTTTATGAAAAATTATTATCCTGGCTGTATGTCATTGTTGATTTTTTCGAATTTATCCATCATTATTCTTTGTGAAGTTTGACATTTATACTTATGTTCTTGTAGGCAATTCGTAATTTATTGTTGTTCGACTTCTTATTTTCTCAAAGTTTGTTAAGAAAATAAATGTTTTACATTTCAGATGAAACACTTGATGAGGATTTTCACAGGTGGACCTGAAGAGACCGAACTTCGTGGACCGAACGAAATTCGACACCCAGATGCGATGTGGAGGGAAATTTTTCTTCGCTGCCATTTTGATGATCTACCTCGGATGAAGATGGTATGTCATCTTACTTACAATTAGAAACATTCAAAATTTTAAAAGAAGGAGAAAGCACGCTATGTGCAAGGGTTTATTTATGATATTATTGATTAAAGAGTTTTGAAATTGTTACTAAATTTTATTTTTAGGTATGCAAACAATTCTACGCGGTGCTGACAAATAACTTTTGGAAGGATCGATGTGAGCTAGAAGGGATTGCTCTACCACCACCTCAAGTTGTCAGATTGGTTCACTCCAGGGTGAGTTGATTTGTTTACCTAATCATTCAATATAAATTTGCTAATCTATTAAAAGCTGAAGATGTTGATACTGTAAGATCTATCAACAAACGATTATTTTCTTTTTAGAATAGCGAATTCGACTACGAATACTTGTATCACTATGCTCACAAAGGAAACGTCAACCCCTATGGACCGAACATCGTCAAAGATTTACCGCTGGAACGGGAAAGAGCAAAAGAATATGCTGCGAATTTATCTTGGATTACGTATCAATCTCAGGGGTTAGTTTTTATTAATGATTTGCTTTTTACTTTACTAAACGAATGTAAGTTTGTACGTTTTATGCTGGTTTTAATTGCTTTTTTTCCTAGTTACAAAATATACTTTTTAGGTGTACTTATGAGGAACCGCCAGTTGGTTATCAAGCAACTGTCGAGTGCCCGAACAAATGCTTGGCTACTTCGTATAATTGGGGATATCGTCAAATCGTAATCAATTTAGAAAAGTGCGGTGTTGAGGTTAGTTTTAGTGTATTAAATGAACTAAACAGTTTAATTTAGCCGTGGATCCTCGACTTTTTACGTCCGACTGTTATCGTTGAAGAAAAACATGCGCCTCGCCATGATTGTGGAGCAATCTACAAATTGTCCATTGAGGTTGTTTGTGTTTTGGAATTAGTTACGAGTAAATCAATATTTTAGCAAATTAGTGGCATAAGATTCTGTTCTTATTATTGGTTTGTGTATAGATGCTAAGGGCTGAAGATGTACCGAGTCATGGAAGTCATGGAAGAATTCGTCCAGATTATGCACCAAATCAATCTCGAGGAACAATGGTTGAAAAAAGCTATGAACAATGGGCCGGTAGCTTTAATCGTTATGTTTTTATTATTTAAATGTTTTAGTGCAACCTTGGGTTCAAGAGTCATTGCAAACGGTTTATCCCTGTGGGATGACGAAAGCTTTAATTTTAACTCGAGCCAAGGATACACAGGTAAAAGTTGCTTTTTTTATCAAAAATTATAACGTTTTGTTTGATTTATTGGATTACCTAGCTTTTTTATAGTTCTGGGCCGGAGAATATGGAATGAAGTTTACGGATACGGTTGTTCGACTCGAGTTTACACAAGAACCTCATTGGTACGAGAGAAATGAGGTAAATTTGAATACTTTTCTCAATCGAAGCTTTACTATAAAAATGAACTACCAACAAACAATCGAGTCCGTAGCTCACGATCTCGATTAATATAATTTTATATTTGATATCAAAGAGGGTAAAAAAGGTAAAGAACTTTTAACACAATAAACCCTATTCGAATCTATGTTTATTACACCAACTAATTTAGATAGAAGATCAACGCGGTGATGGGGAAGATCTTTCAAGTTCTCTTCGCACACACCCATTCCGTTCTCTTCGCATTCCATTGTTCCGTGGCAACAACAATCCGTACCGCCGTCAGTTACCAGGACCAGGACAATAGCTCGATCGACGACGTCTTTGGATGTATTGGACGACCTATATTTAATGAGCCGTAAAAACTCTAATAGGCGGGCATTCTCCAATAGACCGGCACTCTCCAATTGACGGGCACCCTAGAGGGGGATTGAAAAATAGACGGGCATGCCCCTCTATTAGAGTACTTTATTTTTTTCATTGATATCAATTTTTGTTTGTGATACGGTTATTCAAAGGTGATGCTTTTTGTGATAGTCATTTTCTGCATAGTCACTTCTTGTTTAGACTGTTTAAACTTTCAAGGATATAAATTTTCACATGTACTCTTGTTGGCATTTTATTTTTTGCTTTTGGTGCTATAAATATTTGGTTTCTAGCGAGTAAAGCCGTTAATTTTCAACGCGTAAATATGCGATTGATGTTTATCCGCTCAGAGCCCAATTTGCATTTAAGTCCTTTGGATTGTATCACATGCTAAACTTTTTGTAGTTTTGGGGTCAACTAATAAGTGCTCATGTACAATATTTTCTGTCAATGCTGATTAAACCCTTACAATTAAAAGTTACGCTGTAGGCGAAATTTCTGGACGTTTCTCTTTCACTTAGTTCACCAAGGGCACTTTTGTGTCTGCTCCTCTCGCAAACATCACTCTCTAAAAGAGAATTCTCAATTCTGGTAAACAAACAACTGCTCGATGGTTCGATGATTGACCCTTTCACTTTTTTCAAAGCGAAATTCGAAGCTTTTACTTTTTTAACTATTTTATTTTGAAAGTTGGTTTTTTTTCCTATATTTTTACCTATACCTAGTTATCTTGCTTTCAACTTTAAATCAGCTATTGACTTGGATTTTGTCCGTTTTTGAATCTATTCAATAACGGGACCATCACGGTTGCGCCGCGAAAATTGCGCTGCCAAATTTTGCGCTGCGAAATTTGCACCACAAGACCAGAGGCGAAAATTGGTCTTTCGGCGCAATTTTCGTTTTTGGCTTGCGGCCCAATCGCCATGGTCTCTCAATAACGGATATCCGTTTTTAATCGTCCAAACTACATTTCAACAATTTCCAAACTTGATTACGTAGCACCGAAATGAAGCCGAAAGTTTGTGACAAAATTGCATGTTTAAGCTTGAAAGTTAAAGTCCAGCCTGAAAGGTTGTTGAAATTTCTTCATAATAAAAGAAAAAAAAGCATGGACTAGGAGTCTTATCACGAAAATTTGACGTTTCCTATAAGATTTTCTTTTATTTTCCCTTGATAAGAGGGAGTCTATTTCGATCTTGGCATCAACTTTGCCCGAAATTCAGCGAATGACTCGAATGAATAGCTTTGACCAAAATAATATCAGCGGTTGCTTTCGACGTTTGATCTCGGGTCACCCCACCATTTTCTCTCTATTTTTTGATCTCGGCTTTAGTCTGATATTTTATCGTTTCTCGTTTACGCAAAATTGCGTCAATGTTCACGTCAATATTCGTCTATTTAGGCTAACTTGATTCAACAAACGAACCAAAGATGTCATCATTCTTTGCCGGTATTCCGATGGCTGCCCCAATTGAGGTCTTCCACATGAACAATCTCTATTTGCAAGAAACCGATCCGAAAAAAGTCAATTTGACTATTGGAGGTGGGTTTTTGTTACTCTATATTGGGTTGAGGAGTATGAAATAGCGCCGACTTTCAAAGAAACTTCTATAACATCGAATAGTTTTTATCAAATGACATGCGGGTAGAAAGGTCATTAGAAAGAAAGGTCATAAAAATTAGAAAGGTCACTTATTTCTCTACAAAATCATATTTGAAATAGAACTCAAGAAGCGCCCTAAATCAATAAAAGATAATTTTTTCAGAAAATCTGTAAATCGTCAGAAAATTAATGACGAGATCACTACAAAAATTTGGCTACTTATGTAATTAAATGTGCTCTAACGTTTTTGTTTTAACAACAAGTTAAGTTTATGTGTAAGGAACGAGTCAAACGACGAATCGGACTCCTTGTCACTTTGACTCGTTGCCTTTAAGAGCCCATAAAATCCACAAAACAAAAGCTTTTCGGAATCTCTCAAAAGCCATTTTGTAAAGCAATGATAGACCTTTTCGATTATACAAACAATGGATTATATAGAGCTTTTATGCGTTCTAGAAAAATTTTGGAAAGTCGGCGCCATTTCATACTCCCCAACCCAATAGAACTAGAATTGTCGTTTGACTTTAAATAGAAGGTATTGAATGGCAGTTTCAAATTTACTTGATTGTTAAACGCCTACCGATCTAAACTGTTTACAAAGATTGTATCTATCCATTTAAAAGCAATATTTTCAGCATATCGAACTGAGGAGGGAAAACCCTGGGTTTTGCCGGTGGTTCGAACAGCCGAGGCGGCTCTCGCGGCGGATGAAACGCTTAACCATGAGTATCTTCCCGTACTTGGATACGAGCCCTTCTCAAAAGAGGCCACAAAATTGGTTCTCGGAGCGGATTCGCCAGCAATCAAGGAGGACAGAGTAAGTCTTGAAGCTAAACACTTTTTGCAAAGATAAGTCTTCATTGATAACGTTCGGAATCAAGCTGAACGCATCACTAAATCTAACATTTAAAAGTAAACTCTCAAAAGTAGAAACTTATAGCATAGTTATAATTGATTTTTATAAGCGATAGTTATGATTGATTTTTTGCAGGTGATTGGCGTGCAATGTCTTTCGGGTACAGGATCTCTTCGTGCTGGTGCTGAATTCCTCGCACGAGTTATCGGATTGAAAACGGTTTACTACAGCAATCCAACTTGGTTTGGTGAATCAGAAGCGATAGTTATAATTGATTTTTAGGGGAAATCACGATCTCGTCTTCACAAATGCCGGATTTACGAGCCTCAACAGCTATACTTACTGGGATCAGATCAACCGAAAAGTCGACATTGACAACTTAATTAAGGTAATTCAATACCACGTAAAGATGAGGAATGTTCCAAAGCCAAATCGTTTCAGGATCTCGATGCAGCTCCACCAAAATCAGTGATACTTCTTCACGGATGTGCTCACAATCCCACCGGAATGGATCCAACGAAAGATCAGTGGAAACAAATTTGCGAAGTTGTTAAGGTAGTGTTTTTATAAACTAAAGAAGATAAACTTTAAATGAAATATTCCAGAGAAAGAATCTCTTCACTTTCTTCGACATTGCCTATCAAGGATTTGCTTCGGGAGATCCTGATGCGGACGCTTGGGCTATTCGATATTTCATCGAACAGGTATGATAGCTAGCTTTTTTTAATATGCTATAGAACAATTACCGTTCAACTTAACATACTAATTACTCTTACAGCAGCAACATGATTAGCGAAACCTGATTATAAACAAAGTAGCACTAATATTCTGCTCTGAAATCGTATTTTTAGGGCGTCGAGATGGTGATCGCTCAATCTTTCGCCAAAAACTTTGGACTTTACAGTAGGTTTCAGTTGAATTTTCGATGAATTCCGAAACATTAGTCCTCAACCTCAATTCCTAAATTGTCAGGCTTAAGTGGTTTTCAATCATTTGCCAAAAATGACAATTAGGCATTCAGGCGGTAAGCGCAAGAGAATTATTGAGTCATTTGAACTAATGCCCAAGTACCCGGTCATTCATGTATATTATTTAGATGAACGTGTCGGCCATTTAACCATTGTTGTCAACGATAAATCAGTCATCCCATCATTCAAATCACAAATGCAACTCATCATCCGCGCCAATTGGTCCAACCCACCCGCACATGGAGCCAAGGTTAGAAATAAAAACAATTTTCTTTTTTTTCTTTATATTCTTCAAATTTTCATAATTTTTTAAACATAACAATAGTAAATGCCTTTATTCAACAACTGATTTAGATCGTTGCCAAAGTCTTGGCCGATCCAGCTCTTTGTCAACAATGGTTCGACGCGATCAAGGTTGGGATTGTTTTTCTTATGTCTTTCCACACTAAAATGCTATGCAAATTTCGTTAATACTGTATTTACGTTAAAATTTCAATTCCAGGCAATGTCCTCAAGGATTCGCGAGATGCGAGCCGCTCTTCGTGCAAATCTCGAAAAGCTCGGCACACCGGGCACTTGGGAACACATCACACAACAAATTGGAATGTTCTCGTACACTGGACTCACAAGTGAGTGGTTCAAAAGGCATTCAAAGATTTCAAAATACGAATATCACGAGTTCATTTCAGCCGATCAAGTCATGCATCTCGTTGAGAAGCACAAGGTTTTCCTGCTGACAGACGGACGCATCAATCTCTGCGGATTGAACACGAAAAATGTCGAGTAAGTTGAATAAAAGAAAAAGAAAAGATATGGTACTTGTCAGACTTATCCTTATCAATCTTTATCTATCAGGTTATCTTGACATCTACAGGAAAATACAGAAAGGTCAGAATTACCCGGACTCGCATCCAAAAGTTCGGCTCAACCAAAGTCAAACGAATCCCTCTGATTTTTTTCATAGGTAAATTTTGGCTAATTCTCCTGTAACAGTGCCCAATATTAAGTCGATTGGAGCACACATAATTTTTATCTAGGCTTTCAAAGTTGAGAGTCGCGCTTTTGTTGGCAAGCAATGACTTTTGGGATTACACGCGCCACACTTGCCGCGAAACACTCCAATTTCAATTTTACTTCCAAGAAAAGTGTTAATGAAAAACTCGTCATGCAAAATTTGCTTTAAGTTTGAAGAATCATGAGTAGTGAAAATAAAACCCACTTTATTCTGATATTTACCCTTAAATACTAAAGCTTAAAGCTGCTTTGGAAATCAGGAATTGAAAAAGTAATTGCCATTTTTTTAAAAGCACCGGGTTGCTACTTTTAGGATTTAACATAATTTATTCAAAGGTAGATATTCAAACGTCTCATCTAATTAAGCCAAAAATTAACTTTTCTAAAAACCTCTAAGTGCTTTCGTGTTGCGTGCCAACGAAAGTGCGACTCTCAACTTTGAAAGCCTAGATAAAAATTATGTGTGCTCCAATCGACTTAATATTGGGCACTGCTACAGGAGACTTAGTCAAAATTTACCTATAAAAAATCCGAAGGATTCGTTTGGTTTTGGCTAAGCTGGACTTTTGGAAGCGAGTCCGGGTAATTATGACGCACCCTATAGTGTGAGATCGTTAGTACTGAATATTTTCGGGAATTGAAACCCAGTCAAGTCTGGTGTTGTTGTCAGATTCAATGCAGTTTGGCACTAGTATCAGATTGTTCAGTTCAGAATAATATTCAAATAGAAGCCAGCTCAACTTTGGTCTGTGGGCAAGGAATTTTTCAACGATGCCTCTTGGGCCTGTAAACCCGGTGTCAGATCTTAGATCTGTTAACCAGGCCCAAGCCTGGCTTTCGGTGAGCTCAGGGTTTTTTTTGTGAATCAAGGCTGCAGCAAAGAAGGCCATACGGCCAAGAAGCCAAGCCAAGACTTAAAATTAGAATCCTGATCTTGCTGGTCTTCTTTGGAAACAATCCTGACTTGACTTTTGGCTTTGAAGAATCCCTGAACCCACACCTTTCTGAACTGGATTGTGGCGTTTTTTCTGGACTACTAGAATCTAGATAAAATTCGAGGTTGAATTCGAGAAATGGTCGAGAAACCACTTGCTATATTGTTGTTCAAAAAGGGTTCCATCCAATTCCCACACCTGTTCGATTTCAGATATGTTGCCAAGGCTTTCGATGAGACTGTTCGAACGATCAAGAGCCATATTTAAAAGAGAAGAGCAGACAACGATCTTCAACGAAAATTCCTATAGTAAATTGATTTTTTTGTAGATTTTATTAAGTTTTTCAAAAATTGATTACTTTTCATGTTTGTTACGATTTCTAATCTTTATCGGGTAGTCACTAGAGTTTGCCAAAATTTAGATGAAATACTACCGTAATACCTGTAATAGTAGCGCCCCCGTACAGTCGCGTAGTTGCAAAAATTTTTTATTAAATCATTTTTTTTTCTAAGTGCCCATAATTTCATGCATGTTTGAGGTCAAAAAAATAGCTCTGAATTTCAGCTTTCATTTGATACTTAAGCGCACACTGTAGCATAAACGGGTGGCGAGAAAAATACGTTTAAAGTTAAACTACGCGACGCTCCAGCCGTCATTATCGACGGGCGGCGAGCGGCGCTACTATTAGATGTATTACGGTATGTTAGTTGCTTGTAAATAAAATTTATTCACAATATCATAGAGATAACGAAAAGAAGTCTTGCACTTTTTAGGGGTGAAAATTTTTGTGGGGAAAGACTTTTGGTTTTGGCGGGATGACTAAAAAATAAAAAATACAATGAGCAACCGGGATTGTAAAGCAAAATTTGTGACTTATAATGGTGGTGACTTAGAAAATTTGCATACAAAGATGAAATAAAGATAAGATCAAGATATTCAGTTTGACTATTACATTTAAAGCATTAACGATTTAGCATCGACTAAGCCTTTTCGAAAGATCTCTTTGAGAAAAGCTACCGTACCCTACTATCTTTTGTGAGTTTGCCGTATCCCTAAAGTATGTAGGTATCAATTGAATTGAAACAATTGGATTCAAATTTACATAGCTCTTTAAATACGATAACCCTGAAAATAAGCTATTCAACAAAATAAGCTATTCCAGTTGATCTAGCTGATCAACTGATCAATCGGGTACTGTAGTACTGTAGCTTTTGGGTACTGTAGCTTTCGGGTACTGTAGCTTTCGGGTACTGTAGCTTTCCGGTACAGTAGCTTTCCGGTGCAGTAGCTTTCGGGTACAGTAGCTTTCGAGTACTGTAGCTTTCGGATACAGTAGCTTTCGAGTACTGTAGCTTTCGGGTACAGTAGCTTTCGGGTACAGTAGCTTTCGAGTACTGTAGCTTTCGGGTACAGTAGCTTTCGGGTACTGTAGCTTTCTCTTAAGCGCATCTTTTAGAAAACACGATAATCGAAATTTTAAACAGCCGATTTTAGAAGATTTTAGAAGAGTTTCTTCTTTAAAAAAACGATAAGGCAGACTGAAAAATACCCATTTGTAACGTAAATTTAACATAAAATGACAGAATTTAACATAAAATGATAAAAAATTGTCATTTTAAGTAAAATCAAAAATTTCCATTAAAGTACGGTAACTCCTTTCTGTCTATCTCACTACAGTAAGTGAATTGAATGTTCAATTAACCGTTCAATTAACTGAATATCTTATACCGTAGTGAGACAGGGGATTACGAGCTAGCGATTTCTCATCAAGCACAAAAATAGCGAGAAAATGAAGAGGAGATGCGCGGACGTCGGCGTTGACGAGTTGAGATTCTCGCTGTTTGGCCGCTCTTCCCTGAATAGCTTTGTTTTATTTCGAATTTGAATTTCGAATTTATATTCGAATTTGCAATTCAGCGATAGTTTGAGGGGTTTGCTTTGGAAAAAGAAAAACTAAATCCAATCCGTTTTTTCACCCTATTTCATCTTCCTCATCATCTTCCTCATAATCGTCTCCGCAGATTCTTTGTGATTTGCTAAAGAGAGAGTTTTTTGGATTGAAAGTGTTTCGATAGTGAGTTAACGGTACTCACTATCAGAAACGATCTTGGAATTGATCAAAAAACCCGCTTGGCTTTGATTGGCCATATTCAAATTACAATTCGACTCCCACCTACCGTATTTCCTCTAACTACGCCCCCTCCTAACTTTAGACACCTCGTTCTCAGCCCCATTTTGAGATATTTTTATGTTTAATATGTCAAAAGATAGCCCTTAATCTCTTCTATCTTTTGGTATATTAAACATAAAAATATCTTAAAACTGTGCTGAGAACGAGACGTCTAAACTCAAAGGCGTCTAAACCCCCCTCGATCAACTTTAGACATCTCGTTCTCAGCTCAGTTTTGAGATGCTTTTATGTTTAATATGTCAAATGATAGCCCTTAATGTTTTCTATCTTTTGGTATATTAAACATAAAAGTATCTCAAAACTGAGCTGAGAACGAGATGTCTAAAGTTGATCGAGGGGGGTTTAGATGCCTTTGCGTTTAGACATCTCGTTCTCAGCTCAATTATGAGGTACTTTTATGTTTAATAGGTCAAAAGATAGAAGACATTAAGGGCTATCATTTTGGTATATTAAACATAAAAATATCTCAAAATGGGGTTGAGAACGAGGTGTCTAAAGTTAGAAGGGGGCGTAGTTAGAGGAAAAACGGTAGTTAGATTTGTTTATCGTTCAAGTTTGGGTTAATTAGATGTCATACAGATCGGCCGAGTATTCTAGAATTGTCTTCCTTACCGTAATCCGTTCTCTATTCTGCACTAAGTCAGAGTAATGGGCAAGCTTTAACGTGGCATTCTACATTTAGAGCTCATTTTTCCAATTCCAGTCCATCAATCGAAAGCACTGGTGATTTTTGATCACTTTTTGACATTGAAATTGGCATTGTTGACATTGAAATTGGCATTGTTGATATTGAAATTGGCATTTTTGATCATTTTTGAGCTTTTTGAGGCAGCATTTACCAGAAATTTGGTTCAAAATAGCTTTGCTTATGCTTTAATAGCTTTAATAGCTTTAATGGCTTTGCTTATGTCTTTCTTTCAAGTGTCAATTTGTTTTTTTTCAACTAGAAACTAACCATCCTTCAGTGAGCATCGATTCAACTTGTGACCACGTTCCATTGTGCGCATGTGGAGGCTCAATGCCGAGAATGTTCAATGCAACCTAGAAATGTACGAATTTGCAGGAGTTTTATGCGTTAAAGAATGTTAAAAAAGGAAATATAAAGACTGTAAAACAAAAGACAAACAAAAAACAAACAAAAAATAAACAAAACAACAACAATATTGTTTACTTGATACACGTCGACCATATCGATCGGTCCGTACTTCTCATTCGTTTTAAAGGCTAAATTCTTTTCTGTTTTTTAATTGATCAACTGTTTTAATTGCTCTAATGCTAAAAAAAGGTTCCAGTTGGATTTCTAGAGACAAAGACGATGAATTCTAGAGACAAAGACGAACCAGGTCCTCTCGCCAAAAAGATTCCGCGCATATCGTTGCTCTCGGGTTCCCATCCACCAACAGCTTTCACCGTTGTCGACACTTCGACGGGAAGTGACGGCAGTTCTCTCTGGATTTAATAATATATTATTTTCTGCATTCTAACACTCTTGCATTCTTTTGTATCAGCTCAATTCATAGAATTCATACCGTAAATACTGTAATAGTACCCCAGCCCCATAATGACGGTCGGAGCATCGCGTAGCCTAGCTTTGACAGCATTTTTCTCAACACTGGCTTATGCTACAATGTTCGTTTGCATATCAAAAAATAGCTGAGATTCAGGGCTATTTTTTGATACCAAAGCGCGCATTGTAGCTTAAACCAGTGTCGAAAAAAAACTCGTTCAAAGCTAGAGCTAGCTACCGTCATTATGGGGCTGGGGTACTATTACAGTATTTACGGTAGTTTCTTTTCTCACCGATACAATCGTTGTTCCAGGCTTGGTGATGAGAACGATCGGCGACATGAAGCGTGAGTCAGCCCAACGGAGACTTTCCGGGATATCAGCGGCTCTGGAAAACAATTCTTGCTTCTTGGCTTCTTCTTACTTCTTAAAGAAGCTAAAAGAAGCTTATTCAAGTAGATTCTTTTGGCTTAAACAGGTTTATTCAACAATTCAAGAAGTGAATGTTTATTAAGATTAGCTAAAAACTAAAAAGCTTAGCGATTTTAACCACTCACCGATAAACGGATACTGGAGGCGCCTCGGTGTCATCATAATCACCCGTTGGAGCCCATTGATCGCAAACTTTCAACTCGTAGAAGATCTGAGGGAAGAGTGAAATGCGTAAATGGCAAAACTCTTACCGTATCCTCGTCTTCAGGATCAGTGAATACCATGACCATTCCGTGGCTGTTCACGATTCGTTGCACCTGAAAAAGGTAGCAAATTATTGTTTCCCAGCTGTAAATAGCTGCTTTCGAAGCAGCGCCGCTGTGTCCTCATGGCTCAGTCAGGAGCGGGCTGGTCTACAACCCACAAGGGCAGGGTTCGACTCCCCGTACTTGCCCTGAGTTTTTAATTTTTGATTTTAAATGCCACAACTATATTATATTATATTATATTCTATTCTATTCTCACGATTCGTTGCACCTGAAAAAGGTAGCAAATTATTGTATTCCAGCTGTAAATAACTGTTTACGAACCGACGGCCCTGTGTCGCCGTGGCTCAGTGAGGAGCGGGCTGGTCTACAACCCACAAGAGCGGGGTTCGACCCCCGGTACTGGCACCCAGTTTTTAATTTTTGATTTTAAATGCCACAACGATATTATATTATATTATATTATATTATATTATATTATATTATATTATATTATATTATATTCTATTCTATTCTATTATATTATATTATACTCTTAACAATTACTATATTATTTAAGACTTTAAAGAAACTAACCCAAACCCAATTTTTTGACCCAAAGAAGGCTGAGAAAAAGCTCGTATAGACAGACGGACAGACGGAAAGACACTATAGTGTCTAAAAGTAGTGCACTACTCTTTTATATACCGTAATACCTGTGATAGTAGACCCCCTTATAGTCGCGGAGTCTACAATTTTGTGATTCTGCGTGCTGTTTCAACGAAAAAGATAGCGCTTGAAGCGAAGAATCTTTTGATACTAACAGTTTATTTCAAAGAAATCTGGGTGCGTTCAAAAAAATGATTTACTTTAGCGACTCTGCGACTTTACGTTATTATGGGGGCGCCACATGACGCCACGCCACGGCCACAGGGATTACGATCGTGGATTCAATTTAACCCACTTTTGAATAGTCAGCCAAACACTCCTCGAGGAAATATTGCTCTTCTTCGTTGACCTGGCCCAGACCTAAAGTCAAGATTACAGTAATCAATTCAATTCTTTGGTACTAATAACTTTGCTGCTCTAATAAGCAGCGAAGTCTACACGCTGCTCTAATTTGCTCGACTCGATTCCCGACTGTTTTATCAATGTTATTTCATTTGTTTTCTCAGCTAATCAAACATTCTGCATCTATTGGTGATCCATTGAAAGCTTTGAACAATCTTTCTTAATGTTTTAACAATCTTTCTTAATCTTTTATTGAGCTAGCTGAAGAAACACTGAAGAATAGTGAGGCTAAAGGGTGAAATCCAAAGTGAAAACTATTTCAAAGCACTCTAAAAGTATGACCAATAGGGATATGTGATTACCCTAGAAAACCAGACTAGAAAAAAGACGCGTAGAATAGGTTTTGACGATTTTTCTTTATACAGTAATCTCTCATCTCCATTCAATTTCTCAACTGACCATGATCGGACAAAACAATCAGATTCGTCGATGCGAAGAGACCTTGCTCGTCGAGTTGCTTCTGGAATTTGAGTGATTGATGAAAAATGATAAATGAGAACTGTATTTCTAAAGCCTACCGTAAACACTCTAAAAAATGGTTATAATGACGTCATAATGACGCTAGAATGACGCCATAATGCCGCCATAATGACGCTAGAATGACGCCAGAATGATGCCAGAATGACGCCATAATGCTGCCAGAATGATGCCAGAATAGCGCCAGAATGACGCTAGAATGACGACAGAATGACGCCATAATGACGCCATAATGATGCCATAATGCTGCCAGAATGACGCCATAATGCCGCCATAATGACGCTAGAATGACGCCAGAATGACGCCAGAATGACGCCAGAATGACGACAGAATGACGCCATGGCGTCAAAATAATAGCTCAAGTGCGCGGGAGAGTCGAACCAACAACCCCATACTTTGGCGCGGGATTGACGTCGCGCGCCTTAGACCACTCGGCCACGGTTTCCCCTTATGTTTTTAGTGTATTTTGCAAAATTTCTTGAAAGATGTTATAACTTTTTGTAGAGTTGAGCAAATTTGATGATTTTTGCGTCAAAATGTTCGTAAGAGTCTCTAGAATAAAAGTTATCCCTTCGTTTTTGGTTCTAGACCCTCATTGTCGAGTTACGAGCCCCAAACTGCCCCAAAAAATACGAGCCCCAAAAAATTTCCCATACAAAATGACCAAAAAACCGCTAAAACTAAATTTAAAAAAATTTCTGTTAGAGGGATTTGAAAAATTCTTTCAGATTCGGAATCAGCACAATTTTTCGCAACTAAAAAAGGTACTTACAGAAAAATCGGATAGAAAACGCATTTTTGACTTATTTCGCGCTGATGTGCGCCAGAATGACGCTAGAATGACGCTAGAATGATGCCAATGACGGGCGTATAGACGCGTAGTCTAACTTTGAACGTCCCATTCTCTGCTTTATGCTACAGTGTATGCTTTGGTGCCAAATCCTTGAAATCTAGTCCTTGTAGTCCTTGAAATCTAGTACCAAAAGTATTGGGGAAAAATCTAGAAGTTGAGAAAGAAATGATTTTCTAAAAATAAGCTAAACTACGCGACTGTACGAGGCTTTCTATTAGAGGCTGTACGAGGCGTTCTAGTAGAGAATTGGTATCTGGTATTTTGGTTTATAGTATTTGGACCTTTACCTGTAAATCGTGAATGTGCAGATCGATTCGACTGATCGCCTCCTCCACCTCGTCACTTCCATAACCATGGGTTTCGATTGCTGTCGCCAATTTTGAATATCGTAAGAGGAAAAGCTAAAGGAGAGCAATTGAGCACTTTCAATCTTTCAATCTTAACCAGTACCAGTAACCAGTAACGAAAAGAACAAGTTAGCTACGAGTTTTTCGAGAGTTTTACGAGAGTTTTACGATTTAGATACGTTTTTTCGAGAGTTTTCCAAACTTTATCAACCTCCTTGATCCTGATAAACTTTAAAAAAGCTTTAACTTGTAGATTTACCAGTAGACAGTCAGTAGATTTACCTGTTGCTTATAGGGCTGAATCTTGAAAATCTTCTTTACAATCTCCGGGAATTGTTCACCGAGATCGGTGGTTTGATCTGGGTTTGATAAGTCGATGTGCCGCTTTGGTGGGACGAGCACGAGAAGATCCCCGAAACCACGCTAAAAGATATTTGGCAATAAAAGCTCTTGACAATGGTAGCTCTTGGCAATAGCAGCTCTTGTTAACAGCAGCTCTTGACAATAACAGCTCTTGAGAATAGCAGCTCTTGACAATAGCAGCTCTTGACAATAGTAGCTCTTGTTAACAGCAGCTCTTGGCAATAGCAGTTCTTGGCAACAATCTACTGTTAGCCTTGGCAATAACCTTGACAATAACAGCTAGGTACAGTACCGGACAAAAGTCTGTTAACCCCCGTGCCGGCACCCAACTTTCAACGCTATTTTTAGACAGATAACCAGAAGAAAACCCCAGAACACCATATATTTTCTGAAAGCCCAACTCAAGCTCTACAAGATCCAAACTCTATAATTCAAGCTCTACAATTTAAGCTCTTCTTAAAATACATCCTTTTTTTGATGCATTTCAGATCACGCAGCTCATCATTTCAGATCAAGTGAGGTGTCAAAAAACATCTTGGATGTTTGAAAGCAATCCTCTGAAGCTTTAGATGAGCCTTTAGTGAAGTGCACTGTTGAGTACACACCGAAGCGGCGACTTTGAGTCGCCGAAAGTCGATTTAAAACGCATTTTCCCGATTTTTCTCTATGAAATTCGTAATCTACGTAAAAAAATAGCTCTAGAAAGAGCACTTTTAGGGAAAAACTGGTTCTGGAAAGAAAAACTGGTTCTTTCAAAGAAAAACTGGTTTAAAACTGGTTCTTTTAAACGAACCCAACGAGAAAATGTTCCTTTCGACTAACGCGTTTTCTAAAATTCACCTATTTGAGAAAACCCACCGTAGTCAAACCGTTTGATTTTCATCAGATCAGCTCAATTTTTGTATCATTTGATGAGGAATCACCAGGCTTAGCCAATGCTTTCAAAATTGGATTGATCTAATGAAAATCAACGGTTTGACTACGGCTACTTTTCTCAAATAGGTGCATTTTCGAAAACGCATTAGTCGAGAGGAGCATACTCTAGGAAAACGCATTACTCTTGACAATAGCAGCTCTTGACAATAGCAGCTCTTGGCAATAGCAGCTCTTGACAATAGTAGCTTTGAATCCAAAAGATTCAAAATCTATCAATCCAACACACTTTTCTACCCCCAACCCTACAAGTACTGCTATATCGTACTGCTGCTGTAAGTCTGGTTAAAGAAGCCTGAAGAGCTCACATGGCAATGCGCGAACCAATAACAATTCACATCGATATTCTTTCTTCCAGCTGTGTACCAAAGAGGAGTCGGCAAATCTTGCCACCACAAATCATCGGTATCGTTTGGACCTGGAAGAAGGGAAATAAAAGTACCTGGAAGAAGGGAAATAAAAGTAAATAACGGTAAAGTTGTTTACCTATCGATCGAGTTTTATCGATCGAGTACCGCCTTTTAAAAGTAAGGCCATTTTGCAAAATTCTATACCTTTTCTTCGCCTGTAAATTTGTAAATTCTATACCTTTTCTTTAGATTTCCCTTCGGTTCACCGAATTTTCTCTCATTCGATTCAAATTTTGCTCTTAAATAAACCCTTAGCTCGTAATAAAGTAAATCGAAGAAATCTAAAGGAAAAGAATAAAAATTTCCCAAATTATCCCCGATTTAGAAAGGAATTTATTCTAAAAGATGTTTAAAAGTATTTTTCTTGCTTATTCCAAAAGTATTCCGCACCTGTTCCGTGTTCAAAAAGTATTTTTTGCTTATTTCAAAAGTATTCAGCACCTGTTCCCCTTTGAAATCCCACATCTTTCTCATTGGACCACATGTAATCGGCAGTGAAACGATGGTTTTCCGTGTAGAGACCTAGAAAGATATTAGGTTGTTTGGAAATAAATGTCCGGGAATAAATCTCCTGGAATAAATCTCCTGGAATAAATGTCCGGAAATCAATGAGCCTTTTGTATTGTTGATTATTTGGGTACATTTTTCTCAATAAAGTATGCTCTGTACCTTGTTATATACCATTGGAAACAATGTTATATACCGCGGAACCATTAGAAAGGTTAGGAGGCTGAGCTCATGCTCCGACACTTACTGGTTCGACTCCGTCCCCAGCGTTTATTTTGCAAAAACGTTCTCTTCATTGTGCAAATGTGTTCTTTAATAGCATAATCGTCGTGAAATAGCATAATCGTCCGTCAACTGACACACTTTCTGTGCATAAGATCTCTGACTTTTGACCCGAAGCACCTTTACAGTAAAGCTAGCTTATAACCAGCTTCGTTGCCGGAAAATTCCGACGGGAGTATTTCCGCGAAAGCATTAGAAAGCTGATTTCGTGCTCTCTTTAACCCTTTCAATTTTGTTGAAAATAAAATTTTTTTTATTGCGAAACTTCGCCGTTTTAGATGCCCGAAACCGAAAATTTTGCCAGTTTTTCTTTTATGAGTTCAAACTCGGTCGCAATGCAGCTGAAATGGCTCGTAACAGCTTAACAAAACGGCTTAACAAAGTTTGGGGTCAAGGCAGTGTCCAAAGCAGTGTCCAAGGCAGTCAACAGTGCGAACTTGGTTCCGAAAATTGTGTTAAATGTAATGGTTCTTATTTCTTATTGCAATGATTCTTATTTCTTATTGCAATGGTTCTTATTTCGATTTGTTTTGTTTGGATCAAGTTATGGGACTTCGAGTATTCGAGTTGTTCGAGTATTCGAGTTGTTCGAGTATTCGAGTTGTTCGAGTATTCGACTTGTTCGAGTATTCGAGTTGTTCGAGTATTCGAGTTGTTCCAGTATTCGAGTTGTTCCAGTATTCGAGTTGTTCCAGTATTCGAGTTGTTCCAGTATTCGAGTTGTTCCAGTATTCGAGTTGTTCGAGTATTCGAGTTGTTCCAGTATTCGAGTTGTTCGAGTATTCGAGTTGTTCCAGTATTCGAGTTGTTCGAGTATTCGAGTTGTTCCAGTATTCGAGTTGTTCCAGTATTCGAGTTGTTCCAGTATTCGAGTTAAAAACGCGCATTTATTTAACCTAATAAGCCTAATAAATTATCGAGCTTAAATGGCTGAAAGAAAGAAGAAGCCTGATAGATTATCGAGCTTAAATGGCTTCATTAGCTTCATCGAATGAAAACGATAGCTTGATTTTTGAATCTTTAGACATTTTCTTATCTCAGTCTTCTCATTAGTCTAACCAATTCTTGATTTCAATCACGATCTAGCAGAGATCATCCTTGTTTTAAAAGGAATAAATGATTTTAAAAGGACTAAATGATTTCACAATGATTTTTAGATCTTTACAAGAAGCATTTTGATCTTGAAATCTCAAAAATTCGTACAAATTTTTGCATGTTCTTGATGTGAAATCGTTTGAAATTAATCTCATCTTTTTTTCTTCTCAATAAATCGCTTTCTTTTCAAATCTTTTCAAAGAGTACATTCGTTTTACAACAGCCGCGTTTTTCTTTCACTTTTCGGCTATATTTCATTTGCACATGTAGGCAAATTTTGAGGAAGAAAAAGAAAGAAAAGGGAAGAAAAGAAAGAAGAAAGAAAAGAAAGAAAAGGAAGAAAAGGGAAGAAAAGAAAGAAGAAAGAAAAGGGAAGAAAAGAAAGAAGAAAGAAAAGAAAGAAAAGGAAGAAAAGGAAGAAAAAAGAAGAAGAAAGGGAAGAAAAGAAAGAGAGAAGAGAAAGGAGAAAAGGGAAGAAAAGAGAAGAAGAAAAGGAGAAAGGGAAGAAGAAAGAAGAGAAAAGAAAGAAAGGAAGAAAGGGAGAGAAAGAAGAGAAAGGAGAAAGAGAGAAGAAAAGAAAGAAAGGAGAAAAGGGAAGAAAAGAAAGAAGAAGGAAAAGAAAGAAAAGGAAGAAAAGGGAAGAAAAGAAAGAAGAAAGAAAAGAAAGAAAAGGGAAGAAAAGAAAGAAGAGAAAGAAAAGGGAAGAAAAGAAAGAAAGGAAAGAAAAGAAAGAAAGGAAAGAAAGAAAAGAAAGAAAAGAAAATAAAAAGAAGAAAGAAAAGAAAGAAAGAAAGGAAAGAAGTAAATGAAATCTCGAAAATGAATGGCAAAGACATGGTGTAGTGGGTGAAGGGTGGACATTGAATTGAGGACATCAAGGACATTGAATCCTTGAGTGTTCTTCAGATCCATCACTAATGAGATAGTGATAGACTTGTGGCCAAAGTACTAGTTGTAAATAGTGAAGTTGATCATAGTGTATGTTGGATCAAGCAAACCAGCTTGCCCAGGTCAAAAGCCAGGTACACTTTTGATTTTTGACCCAAGAAGGTCTAACAAGAGAGATTTGGAGGTTAAAGATTGGAGATGACACTGTTTAAAGGTGACTCTCACAAGTCGAAACCTAGCCGCCAAGTAGCCAAGTGGTTAGGAGGCTGAGCTCGTGGTCGGAAACTGGCTGGTTCGATTTTCGATCGGGTTCGGTTCGATCGGCTTGGTTCGGCATTTCTTTTGCAAAACCGTTCTCTTCATTGTGCAAATGTGTTCTTTGTCAAATTGCATAATCGTCCGTCAACTGACACACTTTCTGTACATCTCTGACATCAGATCTCTGATTTTTAACCCTAAGCACCTTTGCAGTAAAGCTAGCTTATAACCGGCTTCGTTGCCGGAAAATTCCGACGGGAGTATTTCGGCGGAACCAAAATTTCCGCCAGAAAGGCTGGCCGAAAGTTTTGTATGGAAAATTTCCGGATTTCGATTTCGAACGTTCCGCAAGACTACTATGTACATACTTTGTACTTTGTCAGCGAGTTTTCGAGGAGAGAGAGGAGAAAATAGAGCATAGGCTCAGGAAGAACACTGATTTTTACTGCACCAGCTTGGTCCTAGAGCCATTGCATTGACTCTTTTCTTTGCCAAATACATGCATACCTATTTAACGACTTAAATTATTGCTTTTCTTTTTTGATCATCACATTTAAAGATTACCAATATTCTCTAGTAAACTAGAAAATTGAAAAAATTATTGCTTAAAAGACATTCGACCAGTTGAATAGCTTCAGTGAAATCCAATTATTTTTATTACCATTGAAAAATGGATAGGGATTTGTGGGGATGTTCAAAGGATGTTCAAAGAATTTCATTATGTGTAATTCCCCCTTTCAATTGCATGTTTGGCATGTGTTTATTTGGATGACGAAAGAAAAAAGAGAGATAGAGAAATGGGGAAATGGGGAAATGGGGAAAAGGACGTGTCATTTCTTTTAATCTATCCCATTCCCCTCCGACAGATGAACACCCCAAGAACACCCACCAATAATCAGATATTTGTGTACACTAAACAATTCAAGAGCTTTTGATGAGAATTAGAGAAATCTCTCTCACCTGTTACAAGACTCATCCAATTCGGCCACGAATGAGTGGGGAAAACACTTCGAAGATATTCGGCTTGAACACCATTCTCAGAGAGGGCCTACAAGTTTTTCTTGATGCTGAAGCTAGGTTCAAAGTTTAACAATGAGCTAAAGTCTAGAATTTGAAAAGAAAAGAACTAGATTTAACCAAAACTAGATTCAAAAATCAGCAAGCTTCTAGCTTCTAAAACATCTATGTTTTAATGATAACGGAGGTCAATTCTAGCTATTGTCAATTCTAGCTGCTTAGCTATTGTCAATTCTAGCTATTATCAATTCTAGCCATTATCAATTCTAGCTATTATCAATTCTAGCTATTATCTAGCTGCTTAGCTATTGATCTACCTGCATTCCAATCAATGCCTCGGGTTTCGTTCGATTCAACAATGCCGCTCCATATCCGTCGATGAGTAAAATGATGAGATTTTGTCCGATCGGTTCCCTTTTTTCCGTCTTCACAGGGATCATCCAAATGGTTCCCACCCAAATAAGCGCCCATCCCCAAAGAGGGGACATTGCTGAAAAGAATTGAGATTGGAAAGAAATGGTGTGCTCAAAAATAAAGCCAAGAAAAAACAAAGCCAAGAAAAAACAAAAGTAATAGCTTTAGAGTAAAGCGGAAACAGCAAAAAGAACCTTTTTCCCGATTGAATAACGGGAACGGGTTCTATTGTGATGGCTTTTGGAGAATTTTTTTCGATACTTACGTTGAACTTTATATGAAATGTTAGGAAAAGAAAAAAATTGAAATAATGGCTTGAAGAAAAGGAGCTAGCATTGGGAAAAGATTTGAGTAAAAGAGATTGGGAAAAGATTTGAATTAAAGGACAGTGGAAATGTCAGGTAGCCCTGTGGCTAACTTTTCTTTAGTGTCACAGTTTATGGTAATCAGAATGATTGAATATCTGAGAACATAGAGTGATTGAAATTTGGTAATTCGATAATATCTCGCAAAATTGCGACGCCTTGGGAAAACCCCAACAAGTTACCTATTTCCTCTCATAGTTTGCATTTTAAATAGTAAATCAATAGCATCAATCAATTTTGGTGGGATACATCCGTCAATCTTCAAACGCGCATCAATCTGGCCTTTCTCATAATCCGTGAACAGCTTTCCTTGAGCAGCTCTCCATGAACAGCTTTTCTTGAACAGCTTTCCTTGAGCAGCTCTCCATGAGTAACTTTTCGTGAGCAGCTTTCCTTGAACAGCATTCCGTAAACAGCTCTCCATGAGCAGCATTCCGTGAGCAGCTTTCCTTGAACAGCATTCCGTAAACAGTTCTCCATGAGCAGCATTCCGTGAGCAGCTTTCCTTGAACAGCATTCCGTAAACAGCTCTTCATGAGTAACTTTTCGTGAGCAGCTTTTCTTGAACAGCTCTCCATGAGCAGCATTCCGTGAGCAACTTTCCATGAGCAGCATTCCTTGAGCAGTTCTCCATGAACAGCTTTCCTTGAACAGCTTTTCTTGAGCAGCTCTCCATGAGCAACTTTTCGTGTGCAACTTTCCATGAGCAGCATCCCTTGAGCAGTTCTCCATGAACAGCTTTCCATGAGCAGCTTTCCATGTGCCATTCACCTGAAAATTAACAAAAACTATAAATTTAATAATAAAATATGCACAACAAAAGGAAAACTTTTAAACAAAAGCAAAGACGAGTGCGCTTAAGAATTTGAAAAGATTGATTTTATCAAAAAGTTTTTATTTTGAAAATTTTTACTTTTTACAGTATGCTTTTTTAGTGTTTTTTAGGTTTTAAGACACGCTCTTTTCAATAAAAAAAGGAAGAATAGTTGCAGCGTTGTTCAAAATGCAAAAATATTTCTTTTTGAGGGTGCGCTTAAGAATTTGAACTGTTTAAATTTAAACGCTTAAGGGTTTTAACTTAAGAACTGTAGCTGGCTAGCTGTAGCTGGCTAGCTGTAGCTGGCTAGCTGTAGCTGGCTAGCTGTAGCTGGTTAGCTGTAGCTGGTTAGCTGTAGCTGGCTAGCTGTAATGGGGATATAGCCGAATACCAGGAAAACTTTTCTCACCATTCTCTGCTGGGTTCTCCAACCCAGCAGAGACTCCAACTTTTAGAAATTGCAGAAAAACAATAAATTCTTTGAGACGCTTGTTCAGGGCAATTTCGATGTAGTTGTGGGTCTTTTTTTATTGAGTGGGTCAAATGGTGAGGCTCATTTATCAAGTGGAAAAGGGAAGGGGATGGGGGGGAGACAAGTCAATTGAGGGGGCCATTCAGTGATTCTTTCGGGCAGAAAAATGCGATTGGAATTTGAGGAATCAATAGCCAGTGATAACATCGAAGGAATTCAAAAGTTTATAAGAAATTTTCGTTTATTGAATAAGTTGAAAGTTCGACAATTGCTTGACCGAAAAAAAAGGATAATTTTGAAAGAAATTCTCTTGAAAATAAGATACTTGAAAAAGAAAAATGATAAGAAAATCGAATTTTTGAAACATTGATAGAAAGCTATGATTCCAAGAACATTGATAGAAAGCTAAAACTAAAGCTGAAGGCTAAAGCTGAAGGCTAAAGCTGAAGGCTAAAGCTAAAGCCAATAGCTAAAGCCAATAGCTAAAGCTAAAGCCAATAGCTAAAGCCAATAGCTAAAGCCAAAAGCTAAAGCTAAAGCCAATAGCTAAAGCCAATAGCCAAAGCCGATAGCCAAATCCAAAGCCAAATCCAAAGCCAATAGCTAAAGCTAAAGCCAATAGCTAAAGCTAAAGCCAAAGCCAAATCCAAAGCCAAATCCAAAGCCAATAGCTAAAGCTAAGCTTCCAAAAGCAAAAGCAAAAGCAAATTGGTAGAGATGAAAGTGAAAAATGGCTTAAAATCGTGAAAATTGTGGTTTTTATCAAAATTCTTGATATTTTCAGTTTTCGAGAAGGGAAAAATAAGTGTTTAAAAGGATTTAAAAGGATTTTGTCACAAATTATATCATTTATTTATTCTCTGAGCTAAATTTTTTACGTTAGAGGGTAAAAATCGAAATTTTCTTTACTCTGTGGGACTTTATTGACTATCTGAAAACCAGAATATTGGTACTCAAAAAGGAAATTCTTTAGATGATAACTATGGCAAATATTGGCTTGTTTCACGGCAAACATGGATAGGTACCGTAAAGACTGTAATAGTACCCCTTCCCCCTCGTACAGTCGCGTAGTCGCAAAAGTTTTTTAGTATTTCATTTTTTTCAAAGCGCCCGGCTTTGAACGACTTTTTCTCGACACTGGTTTAAGCTACAAAGCGCGCTTAGGTATCAGAAAATAGCTGAGATTCAGGGCTATTTTTTGATACCTATACGAGCAGTGTAGCATAAACCAGTGTCGAGAAAAACTCGTTCAAAGCTAGACTACACAACACTCCGCACCGTCATTATGGGGCTGGGGTACTATTACAGTATTTACGGTAGTTAAGCGCTCAATTCAATTTCAATTTCAATTTGTTCTGAATTTGATTTGAATTTTCTCAAAAATTTGAAAAACTTAATGCTCTTAAAGTTTCTGACGACAATTAGACTCTTGGAAAGGCTTTTTCAAAAGAAAACAAAAGCTACGAAATTTGTGGACACTTTTTAAAGCTCTTTAAAGCTCTTTTAAAGCTCTTTAAAGCTCTTTCAAAGCTCTTGAACCTCTTAAAGCTCTTGAAGCTCTTAAAGCTCTTAAAGCTCTTTAAAGCTCTTTAAAGCTCTTTAAAGCTCTTAAAGCTCTTAAGAAACATGTCATTTTTCATTTGAATATATATAGTTTTCAAAAATAAACAATCTCTTTGAGAGTAAGCAATGTTTTTAAAGCAATGTTCTTAAAATTTGTCTCTTAAATGTGAAGAGACTAGATTTATTCTTTAGAGTGTACCACTCAAAAACGGAAACGCATCCTTTCTAGTGAGCTCAATTTTTCATTTTTAAAACTGAATTGCGAGGAAAAGCCAGAATTGAGTGCACTAGAAAGGATGCGTTTCCATTTTTGAGCACAAAGTGCAACTAAGGTTCAGATTGGGACCATGACGATTGGGCCACAAGCCAAAAACGAAAATTTTTAACACCGAAAGACCAATTTTCGCCTCTGGTCTTGGCGCGCAAATTTCGCAACGCAAAATTCGGCAGCGCAATTTTCGCTTTTTATCTTATGGCGCAAAATTCGTCGGCGCAATTTTCCTATGCTCAAATTTCGTTTTTGACGAGCAAAGCAAAGCTTACGGGGTAAAGCAAAGCTTACGAAGCAAAGCAAAGCTTACGGAGGAAAGCAAAGCTTACGGAGCAAAGCAAAGCTTACGGGGTAAAGCAAAGCTTACGGAGGAAAGCAAAGCTTACGGAGCAAAGCAAAGCTTACGGAGCAAAGCAAAGCTTACGGGGTAAAGCAAAGCTTACGAAGCAGAGCAAAGCTTACGGAGCAAAGCAAAGCGCGGCGCAACCGTGATGGTCTCACCAAACTTTGATAAATGAAACAAAATGAAATGAAGAAACATCAATTCGGAACGAATAATAAAGAAACGTATCAACTTTTACTTTTCCATCATTCTTTTCAATTCGGTGAATATTTTTGCATATTCAGAGACCGAGAGAAAAGTTCTTTGGAGGAAAATAGGGAAAATGGTGTGAAATTGATACCATAACGAGTTTTTGAGTGCGACTATTTTTAAGTTCGAATTTTTCGCCTCAGATCTGTTTGCCCAATGGCCGAGTGGTTAGCTCGCTGGCCCCAAGTGCGAGAGGTCAAGGGTTCGAATCCGCCATCGGTTGCACATTTTCCTTATAATCGAACTTTTCGAGTACGAATATTTTTTAAGCTCAAATTTTTTGAGCAGCCCCGTGGCGCCCAATGGCCGAGTGGTTAGCTCGCTCGCCCCGAGTGCGAGAGGTCAACGGTTCGAATCCGGCGCCGGTCAGCCTTTTTGCCGGTTTTTTGCTTTTTTGCCAAAATCTCAAATAGAATAGAGATAACCTTTTTAAGCAAACAAGGAGCGCTCCCAACTTTGCGTCGTCTCCAAACCACGAGCGGTAAAACCGTAGGTGACTCGCTCATTTACCAAAAATGCTACTTTGATCTGTGAAAAGATTGTTTCAATCGCATTCAAGAATTGAATTAGAAAATTCTCGAGAAATCTCGGAGTTTGTTTTGGCTTAGGCTCAGGGTTGCTGCTTTTTTGTTAAGATTCGCCGAAAACAGAAACGGCACTGAATTTGAAGCGTTTTCTCATTGGAAGGAGGAGGGATTTTATGCACACGCGATCTCAATTCACTTGTTAATTCGTGATTGTTTTAGTGCTTTTGACTGGCAGAGCTAGGCTAATCACATTTATAGAAGAAAATTGTCGATAAGCCAGAAAAAGGAGGATTAGAAAGAGATGGATGTTTGAGAAGGGCACCAGAAAGAATGCGTTTCCATTTTTGAACAAAATTTTCACTCCAGAGCGATGATGATTGTGATATTAAAGGGATATTTCAATCAGGTGCATCGGTAAGTTGGTCAGGCAAAATTTAGAGCTAAGCCTGGGATTTGGGACTGGTCAG